TGTTTGATATAGATTCTCATTTTCTACAGTAAATCAATCCTCATTTTCAATCACACATTCTTCAATAAAATAATATTTTCCATCACATCAATACTTTTTTCTTTTTTTTTCAACCACACATTTCCCATCATATCACTATTCAAAATCAATTCTTCCCCCAAAAATCCCTACCAAACAGGCTATGAATATTAAATTTATTTTTTATATGTATAATAATTATTATTTATTTAATTAATGTTTTAAGTTTTTATTCTTTTTAAAATATTCTTTTATTATATGGGGGAAAAGCGAAGGAGAAGGGGAATTGTAAGAACCACCACCTCGTATGTGATAATTTCACAATATTGCACTAGAATGACTAGATCCACGTAAATTCTATCTCAAATACATGTCTTCAAAACTCTTTTGAATTCTACCGAAGTCTCTAAAAATTTTAAAATAAAAATTTATAAATTTACAAAAGGTTCTACTAATTCCATACAGATCTCTAAAAAATTCACGAAAAAATAAGTGTTACTTAAAAAAAAGTCTATCTAAACCTTCAAAAGTCCAACTGAATATATTCATTCGAGTCGCTGTTCTGTCAAACCAAATGTTTACAGTTCACGCGATATCTTAGATTATTCGTCTGCTTAATCAGCTTGGTCGGAAAATCAAGGCGAAACCTTCTCCGGGAGCAGCTCGAAGCAAAGGAACTATGGCGGGTATGGGTGACGGGTACGTGGGCACGGCCCAGGACGCCGTGAGGATTCGACGGCTCGAGAAACAGCGAGAGGCTGAGCGACGCAAAATCCAAGAGCTTAAGAACAAAACTGCATCCTCTAAAGGTCAACCCGGTCTTCTCCAGTTTGGGTCAAGCACCTCCGAGGTTCGTATCAAATTCAATTCCAGGGATATAGTTGAGTACTATGTTTTAGTCCTATTTTTTAAATTTGTTTGTTAGAATCGTTTTATTTCCTGATTCTTATATTCAATTCACATCAATTCTAGGTTTATTTGTATATATGAGCACACACATGGGAGTGTAATTAAGTATCTATTTGTTAGTCATATTTACTAGATTTGGTTGTTGGAACGGTATTGTTCAGATTCTTGAAACTGCGTTCAAGAAAGAAACTGTTGGTCTGGTCACAAGGGAAGAATACGCTGAAAAGGTATTTTAACGTTACTGTAAGAACAATTTGTCATGTTCTTTTTCTTCTGGTGATGTGGATTGTTAAAGATGGGGTTGTGTGGTGCAGAGAATGAATATTAGGACCAAAATAGAAGAGGAAGAAAAGGAGAAGCTTCAGAGTCTGCAACAAGAGTGAGTTATTTCTTCAATTTTTACAGTTGATTTTTAGGATTGTTTTTGAGTTCTATATATATATATATATAAGCAATTAGTTGTTTTTTTTTTTTTAATTTATTTTTTTTTAATTTTATCTTTTATCTTGTAAATATTGCATTATAGAGAGGAGGAGCTTCAGTTGCAGAAGCTCAAGAAGCGGAAACTAAAGGTGGACCCTCGACTATCTTTTTCAGATGATTTTGAGAATGACAATGAAGAGGAAGAGGAGGAAAATAGTAAGCATAATTTAGAATATTTGTTTTAGTTATTGTGCAAGTGTTTAAACTTTGAATTGGTGGAGGCTCGTGTACACAAGGGTTGCTAACTCCCTGTTGTTCTTCTTAGCTAATGATCTGGAGTTCAACTATATCCGCAGTTTTTCTGTTGTTACATGTTATTTCGTTCTGTAACCTCTCTTGTGGTTTATATATATGAGTGTTTGTACTCATTACATGGTTTATAGCAGACTTAGCTGTTGTAGATATGTAGTTTGTTTGCTACAGGTCTCAGTTTGATTTACACTTTGATGGGCTGCTTTCCTACCGGATGAACGTTGTCTTTCCATCCTCCACTTTTCTCTTTGTTAGGATTGATTTTGAATTGATTTCAACTTGGTAGAATTGGTGGCTTGTGTGTATATGGGTGCATAATTATTTTTTTCACTTTTGGGATTTCCACCCTGGGGGTTGTTTGCAACTACTGTAAAAAGTTGGTGAAAGTATTTCCAGTGTTCAAGCAACATCAATCAAATCATGGCATCCAAGGTGAAACAAGGCTCAGTTAAAAACTTAAAACAGAGTGGAATTTGATCCTAAATGATATGTGAACTTGAGTCGTGAATAAATATCTTGACATTTGGACATGTTTATAAGATGTTAAAGTATTCATTCCATTAGAAGAAAGACTCAATGATCCCATCTTGAAAATAATTTTGAATTTGGGAATATACTCCCATTTAACATGCTCTCTTGTCTTCTGTCGTTGAAGAAGATGAAGAATCTGGAAGGCTTGGGCAGAGGAAATTTGGCAAAGATCCTACAGTAGAGACTAGCTTTCTGCCAGACAGGTGTGATATTTATTCGTCTTTTATCTGATACATGTATGCAAGTTTATGTGTTGATGCTTGTGTGCTGCATTCCTCTACACGCTTATGTATTTTTATGAATTTTCATGTATGCTCTATTAATTTTCTCTGTTATGCCTTTGGGACTCTTTACTTATGTTGGACCTTTGGAGTTTGAAGCATACTCTTACAGTGAGAGAGACGCAGAGGAGCAAGCTGATTGTGAAAGGCTGCGGAAGCGATGGATTCGTGAGCAAGAACAGATTAAAAGTGAGTGTATGTTTTAAAATATTATAATAATTGCTAGTGAAAGATGACAAACTTCTAATTCTTGTGTCTACTTTCCCATTGTTCCTTTAGACGAGCCTCTTGAAATCACGTACAGCTATTGGGATGGTACTGGCCATAGGCGAGTGATTCAGGTTACTAATTGCTGTACTTTTTCGTATTTCAACAATTCTCATCTGGTTAGTGCACTTCTTTAAGCGTGCGTATTGTTTCGCTGACTTTGCTGGAATTAATCACTACCTACTATTAGGTACGAAAGGGCAATACCATTGGTGAATTCCTCCGGGCTGTTCAGCAACAGCTGTCACCAGAGTTCAGAGAGGTCCGGACTACTTCTGTGGAAAATCTTCTCTATGTGAAAGAAGATCTTATCATTCCACACGTAAGATATATGAATGTGCTTTATTTAACAATGCATGCATTCCCAATACTCAACCCTGACCCTATACACCAATGTACACAAACATACATACAAAGAAGCAAATAGCACAAGGAAATGCGAGAATTATCTTGCCTGCTGGCTGACACATACAATTTTGTTTCTTTCTGTGATGTGCAGCAACACAGTTTCCATGAGCTGATCATAAACAAGGCTAGAGGAAAAAGTGGACCGGTAATGTTCCGTTTCTCTGGTTTAAGATATGAAAGTGCATGGCAACAGTTTCATTTCCTTCATTTAGACTCATTACAGTATGTGCATATGGAGAGTGGAAGCTGGAATGATTTTTGACGTGACAAACCCATTCCGAGTTCTTTATTTCAAAATGCATAGATAAATCTCCAGCTATTGTTAACATGTAGTTACATTAACTTGTCTATCATTACCATTTAGTTACCACTTTTTCTGTTCATGCTGTTTGATAAAAAAAGTCGTGCCTCCTTTTTCAGTTATCACCAGTATATAAAGAAATCTTCTGATCCATTCATATTTATTTCGTTATTTAATTTTGTACAGCTTTTCCATTTTGATGTCCATGAGGATGTTCGCACCATTGTTGATGCCACAGTAGAGAAAGATGAGGTACTTTCTTCTCTACTTAAGATTTCGTCAAAAAAATACATCAAATTCAAGAAATAATTACATCATTGAATCACGATTTTAGATCTTTCTGTGTGAGGTGGTATCATTTACCTACTTATGATCTCCTATGCAAAGGTGGTAATGTCTATGAGTTCCACCTTTTTGTCCATTGCCTCTCTTGCATTCTACCCATGCTGTTGGGTGGTGTATTTGAAATCATATTTGATCATTTAATCACAATATTATGCTTTAGATTTTTCTTTCAAAAAAATATTTTTGGAAATATCAGAATATCATCTTTCAGGTATTAAGTTTTCAGTACCGTATTATATAATCTGCTGCCCAAAAAGGAAAAATGGATTGTAGGTATGTTGTTAAAATCACAATGGCAGCATCACTAAGCCCTGTTTGATGGCCATTATTGTATAAAAATGATGTTTTGAATTGTGATTTTTTCGGAGAATGTGTAGTTAAAAAGTGGGGAAAAGTTTTGTATTTACATGTAAAATATTTTATTGTGTGAATGTGTGGTAGAAAATGAGTATGAGAAATAAATTGTTTTGTTTTAATGGGAGTCAAAAAGGGGCTATTGAGACCACAGTGATAGTTGAATTACTGTTTTTGTGAACTAATTTACAACTGCCACATAACTTGGCGAGTGTATTCTTGGAAACCATCAGTTGTCTTTTATAGCCTTCAAGTCACAATAAAAGAATTGAGCAACATGGTCATGCCTTTAAATACGTTCAGCTGCACTTTGTCATGATTTCTGTCAAGTTCCCTGACATGATGTAAATTTAACTGATTCATTACCATACTTTCTCATCAGTCGCATGCTGGAAAAGTTGTCGAGAGGCACTGGTATGAGAAGAACAAGCACATTTTTCCAGCTTCAAGATGGGAGGTAATCTCTATTTTTTTTTTCTCTTGATCTCTCTCTCTCTCTCACGCAAGTGCGCTTGCATGCATGTGCATGCATCATTCCACTTAGCAGTATTATGTTGTCTGAGAGTAGAGGTGTCAAAATGTGCCTCCCCGCCTGGCACGTGGAAAACGTGGCCAAACTTGTTTTGACTCTAATGCTGGCTGTAGAGGCTTGCAGTCTGTTTGGGCCACCCTACACCGGTCTATATTTAAAAATGAAACTTCTGCAAACTTTTGTAAAGAAGTTTGGGTTGGCACGCATATATGAGAGAGAAAATATGCATGTATGTTATCAGACTATTTGAAGAATGCATTATTCTGATTTGTAGTTTGTGTTTCTAAAATATCCAGTATAAATGTCTTTTAGCTTGTTTGTTACTTGACACGACTTTGTATTCTTGTCATACCTCTTAATTCTTGTCCCTGCCTTCCCCTTTTGGGTAACATTATATGTGATGAAGCTTGAGTATGCAATGTTGTTGGGAATTAATATGGAAAATGAATGAAACTTTTAAATAGAATTTGTTTCCAGATTTTTAACATTTGGTTCCTTCCTTTTGCAGATATACGATCCAACAAGGAAATGGGAGGAATATACAATTCATGGGGATTGATTAATTTCAGTGTAGATTTTCTCTTGGCGCACTTGTGAACTAAAGCCTGCAAATCTTCATGTGTTGTGGAGAGCTATTTAACTTAAGAAAGTTCAGTCTGAAGATATGAAATTAGACATAACCTATGTGGAGTAAGTTAATTGGTTTATGAGAATTTGAATTACTTGAAAAGTCATATGTATTGCACTATGTTTTTTATAGAGCCGTTTCAAGTTAGTAGGATTTCTGCGTGCAATTTAATTTTAAGTTCTGGAAGAATGGGGGCGTTGGATTTACCTTTGCTTATTTTTATCTGTAACATTGGCGAGAGATTTTGATTAGGAAGGGCTTGAAATTTAGGGATGAGAGCTTCTTTTGAGGTAAAATACAGTTATCACTTATCATTGAGGTGCGTTTGGTACGTCGTAGTGTATTAGGGTGATTTTGTCTTGAATTAGAGCTTGGGGGATACTCTTTAATTTATTTTATGATTTGCTACACGATCATTTTCAATCACATTCACACAATAAAATGTTTTATACGTATATCAAAACTTTTTAATTATATATTCTCCTAAAAATAATTATTCAGAACTCTTTTTCTACCAAAATGGTTGTCAAACAGGCACTTGATATGCTCTTGACCAACATAACCAGGCGTTTTAGTTAAGCCCCTTTTTGAGCTCCATTTTTTGTAGAATGATATTGTTAAAAAATTATAATTTTTTTAATTTTCTTTGGAGAATATATGGTTAAAGAATAAAGAAAAAATCGGAATTTATATATATAATTATTTTATTAGAATAATGTGTGATGGTAAATGAGAACTTAATTTGGTTACAGTCCATTATGGTATTGTTAATAATTCAATATCAGATTGTTGACTAAATTAAGGGTAATCAAAGTTTTTGTCAGTTTCATTACACTTTAATTGCATTTAAGGTTCTCATTTATTGTTCATTGCCTTGACATTTTTTTTTTTTTTTGAATCTCTGTTAGTTAATATGTCTTTGACTTTTATGACATTTTCGTTCAACGCGTAAAATATTTATTTGCCTATTTATATATATAAAGTTTGCAAAAATATTTTAACAGAGATCATCATCAAGAATAAGATGTGCTAATTAATGAAATGTTAAATATAAAAATTTGATGGAAAAAATTAGGGATGTAAGTATTATAATAATAGTAGATTGTTGATATTAAATACCAATGTTTTCAACACAAGACCGGACCGGCCGGTCCGACCGGTAAAACCGCGAATAGGTACAAAAATCGGGTCGATTAATATTTAAAAACCGGATATTTAAGAACCGGCCAAGTAGCCGGTTGAACCGCAAAACCAGCCGACCCGTAATAGGTTTTAGCGGTTTTTGCATCTCTGTTTTTTATCGAATTTTTTGAAACAAACTTTTCCATTTGGCCCAATAAGAAGCCCAAATATTTTACATATCTTAAAGTGATCAGCCATTTTATAACATTTTTCTCTAGTACTTTAATTCATGGAAACCGATGTGGGATTGGAAGTGTGTTAGTTTCTTTTCTCCATTTATCAGCTCGGGTGCTCCCACCTCATTATCAGAAGGTTTTTCTTTTGTTAGTTATTGTGAATCTGTGCATAAAAAAAAACCCAAAATTATTGTCCCCAATTCACTTAATGCCTAGCTTTGTCCTTTTCAATTTAAAAAACTGTAGCAGAAAACAAGGTTTAAGTACCATTATTTGGGTTTTAAGATCAACATTCTTGATCTCTGCTGATTTTGTTGCAGGTAGATAATTTGATTAACCAGGTGAGTAACCAGAAGATTCGAAGTTAGAATATAATAGGGGTTGTCTGTGAGTGATTTCCTCCCCCCACAGAATTGCTTTTCCTGCCGTTATTTTTAACTGTTTCTCACAAAAAATGAAGCCGCAATTCTTGAATTCTTACCGTTGCTGGCTGCAACAGTCCAAAAAGGAGTTTTCTCAAGCATTTTAGTGTTCCCAGACAGCCCAATAATATCAAATGACAAAATAGAGAAAACTGTCTTCGTTCGTTGCAAGGCAATTGTTCATCAATAATGATGTAAAACACTAAAACTGGGAGGAAAATATGTAAGTATCTCTTCATCAACAACATTTCGTGAACTTTCATGTGGATTTGAATCTTGAGCTTTATCAATCATTCATCAATATTGATTTCTTGTGTCATATAAGTCATTTTTGAAAAAAGAGCATAACTTGTCAAAAAAAATTTGATGAATGTCTATATTAATATTTTATTTATTATCAACGGTTCGACCTCGGTTCGACCTTTCAACCCTTGACCCTTTAGCTTTTCCGGGTTGATGGCCAGGTCGATTTTTGAAACATTGTTAAATACAATTAAAATGTTGTATAACGAATGAAAATTATGGTACGGATATATTTACTTTTAAATAAATCTTTGCTCGGTTCAATTTAGTTTGCCAAAGATGCCCTTGTGGATTAAAGAAGTGAGACAATGAGGTCACGTAGTAACAAAAATTTGGGCAATTTGAAAAATAATGGAAAAATGTTACAAAACACGGAAATGATAAAAGAAAAATGTTTTGCAATAATGGAAATGTTTTCCCATTATTTTTACATAGAGAGAACCAAGCAAATGCACAAATATATTTTCAATAGTTCAAACTTCCCTACTCCGATTCCATCAGCTCCATTTTCTCTGATGTTGTATGCATTCAAAAAATTAAAATTTTTTTTTTTAAAAAAAAACTCTCTTTGTGTTTTTTTTTACTTCAATAGGTGCTATAATTTGTAATAAGAGATTGTATTTCTTAGGGTGTGTTTGATTGTTAATACTTTTCATGAAAAATATATATTTTTTCCATCCAAATTTTCAATTTTGCGCTTTTTGATTGACATTTTTTTTTTCATGAAAAACATTTTCCTATTTTTGGTCGCGTGACTATATTTTCCTCAAAATCAAGGAAAATATTTTATTTAGGAAGAGTAAGATTTTATTTTCCAGTGAATTCACTCTCTTATCTATCCCCTCTCTGTTATCTATCCACCAATAAAAAGTTGACAAGTATAATACTTTCTAAATTGAGAATTAAATCAATCAAACACATTTGATTAATAATTTTTATACAAATATCATGCTCGCAATCAAACGCATCATTATTATTTGTGAAAATGCATCTTTATAAATTTATAAGCACTTTTTTTTAAATATATATCCAAAAAGTAAAATTTGTTGTTCAACATAAGAATTAATTAATTAATTTCACCAATATGTCCCAGATAATGATAAATTTTAATTAAACCAAAAAATGAAATGAAAAAAAATTGTTATAGTTCCATGTAAAAAAAAAAATACCACTTCTCTGCCACGTTCACCATTTCGATATTTGCTCGAACACATAGAGATGTATTCAATTGATAATTTTCAAGACTTTTTGGAATTTTAAAAAAAATTAGGGATATTCAATGTAGACTTGTTAAGACTTTCTAAAAGTATTGGTGTATTCAATCGAGAACTTTTAAAATGTTTTTAAAAGTTACTGTGTATTTAATTAAAAAATTTTAAAAATCTCTATAAGTCTCGGAGTATTTTAGATTGTAAATGACTTTTAAATACTTCTATAAAAGTGTCCAGATACTAACTTTTAAGCAGAAAATATTAAAATAAAGTATCAAAATTTGTCTTTTATTCATCTCAAGATTTTGGAAGACTTCCAAAAAAATTAAAAATAAAAACATATATTTTTCGTTTCTTTCAATATTTCTCTTTCTTTTTTCCTTGTAAAAACATTAGAATCATGAATAAAAATTATTTTTTTATATTGATTATATTTATTTCTATTTTTCTTCCTTTCTCTCTTATTTTTTTTTTTTTTTTCTATTTTCTATGAAAAATTGTAACGAAACATTCTTATTACTTTTTTTTTCATCGTATTTTATGAAAAATATCTATTTGTAATTAAAAATTATAAAATTTTATATATAAAAAATACTAATTAATAATTATAAATTTAAATATATTGATTTCTTATTTACTCTTAAAGTACAGATAATACTGAATATTAAATATTTATTTATTTTTTATGAAAGAATAATGTAACATATATTATTTTTTATTAAATTTTTATTCTTTTAAAATTATTTTTTATTATATGAGGAGGTGAAATGCAATTGTGTGAGTCATCACCTCGTATACAAGAAATTCAAACTGTTGTTCTAGACTCACGTGGATTCTATTTGAAGTAAAAGTCTTTGAAATTTTTTTAAATTCTGCAAAAATCTATAAAAATTTAAATTAAAATCTATATAACTCTGCAAAAACTTCCGTTAATTCCATACAAATACGTGAAAAGTTCAGGAAATTTACAGGAGCCGTATATTTTTTATGAAAGAATAATGAAACATATATTATTTTTTAATAATAATAATAATAATAATAATAATAATAATAAATGTCAATAAAGTCCTGATTGAATGCACCCGCTCAGTCCACGCTTCAATATTCCGTCTCCGTTCTACTCTCTCAGTCCAAAGGAACTGGAAGAATGAAGATTAGGACTTTCTTGATTGTCGTGTTTCTAGTTTTTTCTTCATCTTTCTTAAAAGGTAAGTGTCTCAGATTCAGATCCATTTCTCAATCGCCCCGCTTTTAATTAATCTTTGTAACTGTTATCAATTCTTATCTAAATGCCTACACATGGACAATCAATTATGATTTTAGACTCGGGTTTTGATATCGTCTTGGGGTTGAGTTTCGATAAGATCGAGGTTCTTTTTGTTTCTTTGTTTGATTTCGGAATTCAAGCTTTTGTTTGTTTGAATTGTGTGATTTTTGGTAGAGCTTATTAATTTAATTGTCCAGTAATACGGTTTTGATTGAATAGAAATTCTGGAGATAAAGTCCCTTGTTTAAACACCGATTGCATGCAAGATGGTGGTTTTTTGGGAAGTTATGGCCCCATTACTAATTATTTGCATGTCCAAGCAAAGCAATCCTTACTCTTCGTTAAAGTGGTTATAATGGAAGGCAACCTTATGTTTGATAATTTTCTGCCATCTGTTTCATTTATTTAGCCCAAACTTGTTTGGTCTTTCTGATTGATGTAATGCTGCTCGATTACGCTAAATTGTTTTACTTGATTGTAGTGCCAATGTCCAGCTACTAGATTCACTTTTTTGTTTTCTATTTCAAATGGTGATTGATTTGGTGGGTAGTTCTGTTGATGGATGGTCAATTGAATCTAAGCATTATTGTCTGAAGAGTGATTCTTGTTTCTTTATTATTTTTTGGTCTTCTTGATAGTTGCAAGATGTGAGCAAGACCCAGATGCAGATGTAGTCGAATCAGCTGATGGGGGAGATCTTGGGATTGTTGGTGAGGATGCTCGAGATTTTGGTGATGGTCCTGCTCCAGGCGTGGAAACAATTTGCGTTTTCCCTAAAAACCCATCTAAATGTGAGTTCACTATTGTGCATTCTATGCCCTCCTTCATTAGCAGTAGCACTAACCTATCAAAAAAAATATTAGAAGTAGCACTATAGTTTTATGATCGACTGTCGTTTTCTCCTCCAGAATAGAAATTTTCTCAAGAAGTGATCTCTCATTAGGTTCTCTTCTTTTATAGTTATTGCAGCTGGGGAAGAAAGTGAACTTCTAGTTGGAATTAATAACGATGGTAATGCCTTCTTATTTGTTTTACTTATAGAAAAAAAAAATTAAATGTTGCTTGCCTGTGACGTGTTATTTTCTTTCTGTGTTCAGCATGCGTGGTCAATCTTCTTGCTGTTCTCTCGATTTCTTTAGTTGTTCTATAGCTTATGTTTTTAGAATTGTATTTTTGGTGTGGCTATGTTACGTAACAATATGTGATTGATTCACTTATTTGTTTATAGATCTATCAAAGATGCTTATGGCTGTTATATTGAATGCTGCCAGATGTGCTGAGAGCTGATTTTACTTGCTACTTTTTTTTGTATTAAAAACAGGGAAATCAAGTATTAATGTCATTGCCATCCAGGCCGCTGTTCATCTTCCTTTTGATCACCATTATTTGGTCCAAAATCTGTCTGCACAGGTATCTTTTGTGTGTTTATATGTGCGTCATTTTGTGCGCGCTTCATTTATGAACGGTTCAAAATTTCTTTCTAGATATGTTTTCTGTGTCAAAATCAACTAGCCGTTTAGGGTGATGATATTAATCATTTGTATGTATACTTGTGTCCCAAGTCCGTGCCTCCAGCAAGCTATGATCTGTATGGTCATTGATGGTCTTCTGTAAGATGTTTTGGGGAGTGGGTTTAAGCTGTATAGCACGAAATGAAATTCAAGAAAGCAAACTTGGAACAGCAGCCATTTATTTTTTTTCTGCCTTTGAGATTCTGATAAAAACATACAAGTTGCAGCAAGTTGTATAAATGTGGGGGACATCCTTTCTATATTGGTAACTCCATGCAGATCTTTCCACTTGGGTGAGGGTAGATTTTGAGACTACTACCTATGTACACACAGTTTGCGGATACATTGTGGTCAATAGCTTCCTGCAAATTGACACTTTCATTTCTTTCTCTTGTTTGCCTTAAGGCACTCTGTTTTGGCCTTCTATATCCTTTGGTTTGATGCTAATATTTTCATACATCAGAAAGCGCTTTGAGATGATTATGGAAACTGCTGGAATCACCAAACTGTCTCAGGTCTTGTATATATATATGCAACATAAAGCCCTGTTTGAGCTGTTAAAACTCACTTTTGTTGTTTTTCAAGATTTTTGTGAGACGTACATCTGCTACTCATCTTCTTGAATTTAGATTTGAAATCAAGACTTGAAGTTTCATGGCATATCCATGAATGTTACACTGACAACTTCAATTTCCTGATTATCCATAACTGCCACATGTTATTTTGCTATGAAAGAGCTCACTCGCCTTATTTCTCTATGATCACTGAAGCCCTTTGCTGGACTTTCTCTTAGCTTTGCTTATGTTCCAATTCTGGATTGAGAATCCTGTATTGAATTTAATTGTCAGTCTATCTAATATGATTTCTCAAGAGACATTTATTACTAATGTCTTTGTTTCCATTTTCTAGGCTTTTAATAACGCATCAGTTCCTCCTTCAGCACAAGCTACGTTCCCATACCTATTTTCTATCAGCAAGTTTTTGCAGGTAAATTTGAAGTGTTCTTAGAGTGTAATAGTTTATTAACGAGCATTCGAGTGTCTAAATTGAGTCTCGAGTCTCACGTGTTGAACATTTTTTCTTCATCTTGTAGGCTGGTGCATTTGATCTTGTTGGCACAATTGTTTACGAGATTGATCAGAATCCTTACCAAAGTACATTCTATAATGGCACAATCGAAGTCATTGAGTCAGGTGGCCTACTCAGTGTTGAGTCTGTTTTCCTGTTTTGCCTTGGAGTTGCCCTTCTCGGTCTTCTTGGATTTTGGATACGTAGTCAGATACATCATTTCTCAAAGGTGATTACATAATTTTATGCCCGTACATCACTTTCACAAAAGCAGCACAATGTGCTGTACTGAGACAGTGAATGACGCCTTCCGGTTTTCTCTTTCTTGATAACTAGAAAACTAAGAGGGCACCTAAGCTGGAAGTTGGAACTGGGACGACTGATGCTTCATTGGATGAGTGGCTGCAGGTATATATTTTCCGCATGATTGAAACTTCGCATTTACTTCGAATCTGTAATTCACTTTGACGCAAGGAATAAGGAAAATCACTCTATTGGTGCTCGACCTATTACTGAATTTCAAGTTGATCATCAACCTCTTTATTGTAGTTGCACAATCAGTCCCAGTGTTGATAACTGTCCAAATGTCCATAAATTTCCAAACAGATGCTTGTTGGGACTAATCGTGTAACTATAATGAAAACTTGATGACCAATCTGCTCCCTTTAGAGGTTGGGGATCAACTTGCTACTAGGGCAATAGGTTACAGACCAATGATACAATCTTCACTCAATTATGGGTCTGGAACACCTTTGAGTTCTTGAAAATTCAATGTTTTCATCATATCCTGCAAATGTTAGTTTGCACGAAAGCTAAAAGGGTTTCACAACTAACTTGTCTCTAAATGTTCAGGGAACTGCCTATACTCAGTCCGAGTCTAGTAAATCAAAGAAGAAGAAGTAGAAGAGCATCCCTTTACAGTTAACTTTAAGGACCAGTATAATGCGGCTATGATTCTTGTACCACAGCTTAGGCGTTCGAAAGTGAAATAGTGTTTTGAGAAATTAGTATGTGAAGGATCTGCCTCGATTCTGTATCACGAGGAAGAAACTTTTACATTTTCATTCTCTTAGCGCCAATTCTGAAACTCGGGCGATTTTTAATGCCAAATGAGAATCGATCATCGAAAAGCTACAGTTTTGTTAAAACGTGAGATTTCATCTAGATTATGATCATTTTGGAAATTTTGTTTTAATTTATTTCAGCTTTGCTCAATTGAAGTTTGTGATCTGAAGATTTGAGTTTTTGCAGTTTAGATATTTACTGGTTATTATTCTAGTGCAGCTTCTTAATGTAGAGTTGAGAATTAAGAAATTCTGTTTATTTATTTTTTATTTTATTTGTTATTATTATTATTTTTGGAAGCAAACCTGCAAATTTCATTAAAATCTAGTTGTCACAAACAGTTGGTGCGAAATGTAGAGAGGATACTATTATAGCCCATCTAATCGAAAGCTTATCAAACCTAGCAAAAGAAACGAACTTGTGGGTCAACGTGTTAACAACGCGTTGTTTCAGTACTTTTTAAAAAAATTACGTGTCGACGTATGGGACATTTATCGTGTCGGACACATGTGTTAGTGTCGATACATCACAGTTCATCAGTCAAACCCGAAAATCTATATTAGCCTATTGGGTGGAAGAAGAGAAGTTAGCATCTAGACGAGGAAGAGCATCCCATATTCTTTTCAAGAAGAAAGAGCAATGACGAAGTGAAATGAAAAGACGATGTCTACATTGTAGACAATTAGCGACGCAACAAGACTTGATTTGTTATCATATTTATATCGAAATATTTCATTTAAAAACTTAAACTATATCTATTTCAATCCATCTCCATATGTTTGGAGATTTTTGTTGCAAATGTGAAAGAAAATTAGCAATTTGTGGCTTTAAATTTGTTCAACCAAGAACTTGAACATGAATTATGACGCGACAGGGTTAGGTAGGGCGCAAGCGAGCAATAATGCGCAATAACCTAAAAAAAGTTGGTCAGGGTCCGATGTTGTGTGTCACTATGTAGCTCATGTAACTTTTACACGTGCTATATTTTATGTGGAGATTATGTTATATTCTCAGGACTTAAGCCAATAGGTCACGCAAAGATGGACATTTGGGCATGTCTTTTTGGTGTTTCTTTAATTAGCGCCTAATTAAAGTTCATTTCTTTTTCATGACTGGACACTCTTTTTGTTTAATTTATTTTTAATTCAAAAAGTCATATTATATTTATTTTTCTTGGTATTTTAAAGACCAAACAAACCATCTTCTAGAGCTAATGGAGAATGAAGATTCAACACCATTACATCATTCTTTATCATTAAATTTCTCACTCTCTTTATCTTTATGATAAATGGCCTATTTTTATTATTTTGTTATACTTGAGAAAATAATATTTTGAAATGTTAAATTAAGCCATTATTTGGTAGAAATTAAAATTCAGATTTTAGTTTAAATAGAAGTCAACAATTAGTTTTGACACATTTCATCTATTTTTATTAAAATTTACTAAAAATTTAATTTTAATCTCCACCGAACAAGGGCTAAATATAATTAGATTGAGGTTAGACGATATAGTATTTGATACATATAATTTTTTTGGGCGTGTTCTTCGATGCTATTCTATTTAACTTGCCAACTCGATTATAGGGCATGTTTGGCAAGGTTTCCGTATCTCTTTTTGTTTTTGCTTATTTTATAAAAGTTTTTCGAGGAAGTTACTTTAGATTAACTTTTTTCTAAAAGCTCTTCTATCAAGACAAAGAGTCTGTTTGGCATAGCTTTTGCCTATATTTTTTATTTCCTGTATTGGAGGAAGCCTCTTTAATTTTTGTTTAAAAATTAATTTTTAAAAACACTTCATATTCTGAAAGTATTTTTAGAAAATTATATTGAACCAACTTCCTCTAAAAACTCTTATAACTATTAAAAACACTTTCATAAAATTAGCCAAATAGGCTCAAAAGAAGCTTTTGAGTCTCAAAAATCCATTTTAACTTTTCGAAAATCATGTCAAATGGGCCCAAAGCACTTTTAAAAAATTATTCAAATATATTCAAAAGCGGCTTTTTAGTATTATAAACAACTTTTGACTTTTTAAAATTACTATCGAACGGGCACGAAGACTTTTGAAATTAATTTTAGTTATATTTTTTTCCATCATTTTGACGCTGCCATATCTTATGAAAACAAGTTAGTACTCTTGTCAAGAAATCTCATTTCCATGTGACCTTCTTCGAGACTAAATTTCCCAGAGCCACTCTTTTGAATAAAGTTCTCTTTTAAGCAGACGAGCCGCTCGACTCGATTGCCATCACTATGTTTGGCATAGCTTTTGCCTATATTTTTATTTCCTGTATTGGACGAAGCCTCTTTAATTTTTGTTTAAAAATTAATTTTTAAAAACACTTCATATTCTGAAAGTATTTTTAGAAAATCATATTGAACCAACTTCCTCTAAAAGCTCTTATAACTATTAAAAACACTTTCATAAAATTAGCCAAATAGGCTCAAAAGAAGCTTTTGAGTCTCAAAAATCCATTTTAACTTTTCGAAAATCATGTCAAACGGGCCCAAAACACTTTCAAAAAATTTTTCAAATATGTTCAAAAGCGGCTTTTTAGTATTATAAACAACTTTTGACTTTTTAAAATTATTATCGAACGGGCACGAAGACATTTGAAATTAATTTTAGTTATATTTTTTTCCATCATTTTGACACTGCCATATCTTATGAAAACAAGTTAGTACTCTTGTCAAGAAATCTCATTTCCATGTGACCTTCTTCGAGGCTAAATTTCCCAGAGCCTCTCTTTTGAATAAAGTTCTCTTTTAAGTACTAAAGAAATTATTTACTGGGTTTAGTAAATATGTAAAGAAATTAAGTTGGCCTAACTTCATTACTTCACATCGTTTAGTGGCCATTTGATTCCCTTTTTGCAGAAAACCAGAATGAGTGATGCAAATTTACACTATTATTTGAGATAATATTTATTATTAGTTCCATATTTTGCACCCATTAATTAATTAGTAACCCCACACTCATATTCTTCTTTTTTTTTTTTTTTTTACGTAGGAACTCTCAGCCGCTACCCACCAGTGGAGGCCCCGACCACTATGAGTATGCACTAGGTAAATCCTGCTCTTTGTGCAGTAGCCCGCAAATCACACAGGAGAGGTAAACCGCACTAGGCAAGTCCGGTGCGATGAGCTCGATCGATGAAGTATTGGCAGTAGATTCGAACTCGTGACATTTGGTTTCCGCGTTCACATGCTCCATCAATTCGGTCACCCCCGAAGGGATCCCCAGACTCGTATTCTTGTAACACTGCACATTTGTCCCACGCCAAATAAATGATTGAAGATTGTTGCTATAGTTTTATGTGCAATAAACTCTTCTGCCGCGTAGTCATGGTTGATTATTGGTTGTAATTGTGACAGTTACCTAAAAAGCGTAAACGATACTTCGTTGTTACGAACAGCCGACACAATAAGAGAATGAGTCTACGATCCAAGACAAACACGTTTTCATTTTTACTTGGTCAAAATTTTATTTATTTCTGTGACATGTCACATTCCAAATCTTAATTGTGGGTCGTAGTGGTTTTAGCCATTGTATTGCCGATTGTTCCAACGTCCACGAAACTTCACATTTGTGTGTACATCTTTCACGATAAATTTAACGACAATGATATCATTTAAATTTTATCGGAAAATCCGAACGTTGTAGATAAGGATAACGGTATCCTGGCGGGGCCAATTGGACTACATTAACTTTAATATGTGGTCCTCCTTTCAATACATGTTTGTTACCTAATAAATTGATTATCAAATTGAGGAGATTCGTTGCACTTGTCTCACTATTTAATAAATAATTTAATATTCACAGATTCTTTTTCTTTTTCCTTTTTTTTGAAAAAAAAATGATAAATAAAATGGATTAATGATTGAGTTAGTCGATGATTTTAGCTTATTGTTACTTAATATTTAGAAAATAGTCTCGAGTAATGAGCCGATTCCTAATTTTCAATTTTCTATTATAATTGTACAATTGATCTATAAAGGGAAAAGACTAATATTATCACTCTCGCTCACTCTATTTGCCATGAATCCTCAAAAGCACTTAGAATTGTTATTTTGATAGTGTTTTTATGTGATTATAAATTGTGGATCTTACGAAATGTATGTAATGCATCTACAAATAGAGTTTGATAGATTTATGACAGAACGGAAGCATATAAAAAAAGAAAAAAAAAAAATTCAAATGAAAATTTCTAACTTGTTGATTCTCCCCAATAAAGCCAAGAATTAAGTGTCATTAATGATTAAAAAATTAAGTGGGTGTTTGGTGGGAATTAAAATTAGATTTTTAGTAGATTGTGATAGAAGTTTTTGAAATGTGTGGCTGAAAAACTGTGAGACCCATGAAAGATGTGATTAATATTGATTGTTTGACTTTGATTGAGATTAAAATCTGATTTTAATCAGAAACAAACAATGCCTAAAATTTCTAATTTTCGAAATTAATCCGCCATAAGCAGAATTAAATTCTGAATTTATTTTATAATACAAAATTATTCAAAAAAAATCAAAAACACATTTCTGGAGGCTTAAATGATGAATCATGTTTGGTGTACATAATTTATTGCAATAATTTATATAGATGGTGAGGTGGCGCCATTTCTCAAAGGGTCGAGAAACTCAACGCCACTATTCTTGAACAACTTGGAGCCATGCCTTTTTTCGCACTATTACGGATATGAAAATAATGGTCAAAATGGAAGGACGGAAGTCCTATGGATTCACAAAGATTCTATGGATAGAAACCAAAAAAGAAATATCGAAATCGTTCTGATGATTCAATAATATTATTACTTCAATTCAAAGTTGTTAGTTACTTCGACTAAAAAGGTGAAATGATTTTGCATTGTCTCAATTGAAGTAATGAGCCTCCCCTTTGGTGATTGAAAAAAAAAAAAAAACTGACAACTGTTGGCAGCATCTGGAAAAATTATAGTGAGAAATTATCTGTATACTTGGTTTTATCCTTAAATGATGGAATTTGGTCGAAAAATGTTGTACATCAGGGAAAAGCCGACGAGTTTAGCTTATTGAAGTGCTTCCACTCATAATTGACCCAAACTTATTTGAAAATGGACATTAAGAAAAAATATTTCTTTTGACGTCGATTCCACTTTTCATGAAATCTTCTTCATTATATACTACATCAACAAAGCACTTATAAATTTTGCCAAACATGTCCTTAATGAAAAACCGACAAATTGACACGTTTGCAATTACGTTTTTCTCGCATGGGGTATTAACTATAAGTATTCAAAGAAACCAGATTTCTCAAATTTAATTTTTCTTTTTTGACCTTTTCATCATGTGATTGCAATCATAAGATAAGAATCTACGAGAAGTCCCACACCCATTTGTCCATAGGATCCAAAGCATATCCCAATTAGTTAGACCATGCATAATTGCATATCATAATTAACGGCCACGATTTGTTTACACATCCTCAAATCACTAAATCGCATTAACAAGATGATGCCACCAAAAAGGAAACGCGTTTTCACTTTCAATTGTTTGTGAAAATTCTCAAAAAATTGGATCACGGGCGACAAAAGGTTCAATATCTACACGAGTCACTAACGTGTCATTCAGCAATCATGTTGGACATTAGTCAATATGGAAAATTCTAAGGGTCGGTTGATATGATTTACGAGAAGTCGGAACGAATTTTTGAAATCAAAAATTTCTTTTGATCCTTATGTTTAGTTTTATGAAAATACTTCAACTTTTAAATGAAGTCGATCCAGTACGACTTTCTCTAAGGAGTTTTTAAGAAGAGGTAGTTATTTTAAAAATTATAATTAGGAAGCTCAATAGCAAAAGTACTGCCAAACGTATCCTACTTCTTGTCATCATCTCGAAATAAAAATTATGCATATATCAAATTCGATTTAAGAAAATATATTTAATAATTCTTCGTCGACTTAAATTTTTTCAATATTTAATGGTAAAGAAGGAAATCTTGTTCAACATTGGTGTAATGCGCATGCAAGGTTGGACCAATTAGTTTTACCTTTCTACGTCGTCGTTCGGTCCACCAAAAAGTCCCTTTTATTATTCAAAATGTGACAATACTTTGAAACTTGGTCGGTTTACCAATTTGAAACTTAGGATTTGCTTTAACATTATTCGTGGACGTGAAAGACATTTTACAATTTAGTTTAGTTCAGACCAAAGGGTCCTTTCTTTGAATTAATTTAAAAGCCTGACTCTTTCAAAAAAATAAAAAAAAAAAGAAAGGGAGAGATTCTTTTTGGGGACAACGTTACCTGAGGCAGGTGGGTGACTCTTCCAACTGCGTCCTTTTCTCTACACTATAATTCATGAATTTCATGTACTTTCAAAATATCATCATAAACGAATAAATATTTTACAATATAATATATTTTCGAAGAATATGATGACGAAGTTAAACAAAATTTCACCCTTAGTACTATCATTTTGAAACAAACCACGGGCAACCCTCATGTTAAGCTTTTTTCATTTTTGCACGTTCGGCAAGTTTGGAATGATTTCAAACAGGAGTTATATTCATTGAACTGAACGCTCAATAGAATTTTTGTCCGAAAATACCTCAAGGCTCGTGGTGAGTCATTGTCTATCTTCCAAATTTGTTATCGATCGTTTTAATTATCAAATTCTGAAGACGAAAATTCCTAACAAGGACCAAAAATTGAAGATATCAATTAAATATACTTTTCAATGTATCTAATTATTGCTTTTTGTGGTGTCACAAAGTTCCTTTATGAATATTCTAAATTGAAGAAATCCTTCCTCCCACTTTCCTCTTTTGTAAGCTTGTATGAAAAACCCAACTTCAAATTTTCATCTTCAACATTTTTCTATTGTAAAGGTTGATTCCCAACCTCGTCCCGCCTTTAGAGCATTGTGGATGAAGTAAATCGCAGGATGTGCCTCAACAAGTCAGGGTACAAGAGCTGTCATACAAGTGCTCATAAATAATCGAATTTCATATCTTATAAGAGGTAGAAATCGAACCCTCACACTGTGTCTGCCAGTTCAACTAAGACTACCCCACTCCCGTCATTTGTACCACTAGGCTTAGTTCCGGGGGACAACATTTCTCCATTATAACATGTAGGAATCGATTGGATCAATTCTTAAATTTGATTAAGGACATCACATTTTGATCGTCAATTTATCACAATTCCGTTTCGTGTTGAACACAAGATTGTTTATAAATATTTAGATGGATGTAAGTTTAATATAACCTAGATGTCATAATTGTTTCCCTAAATATTATATCTAGAATCTAGTAGAAAAGATGCAATCGAACTCTTTATTACTCATAATTAAGACTTAAAATTTACCTTAAGCACAATTAATATGCAATTTATTGCTTGAACACCTTATAAAACAGACTCGCCTTCACATTCAAGTTATAATACAACTTAACCTCAAAACAAAATTAATAAAAAAGGACTTATTTTGGACACAAGTTACTTATATAAGTAAAAAAATTGAACTTATATTGTGTTTGGTGCATATTAAAATAAGAGAATATTATTTTATTAAAGAATGTGTGGTTGAAAATGAATAGGAAATCCTGTTTGGTTGACAGTTAGGAATTGAAGGTAGAGAGAGTGCAAGAGCCAAAACAGGTCCCACATATTCTCTAGACACGCGGCAACCCGACGCCGATTAACCGTCTTGAAAGAATCTCTCACCCACCAAATACAGCAAACAAAAAAAAGAAAAAATTTATTTCCCAAAAATCAGAATATTAATTCTTTATTCAGTGAAAGTGGGCCCAATCCCCACCCTTTTTCCTATATAAATTCACTTCACCGTTCATGCAATTCTCGCTCACTAACCATTCATTTACTGCTATTTTGCAATTCTCCTGCAGATTCTCTATTAGGCTAACGTCAAATCTCAAATCCTCAACCTGCTCATTTTTCCTCTGTTTCCAATAGAATTCTCCGTTTTCCTGATTAACTGACACCGTTAGGTTTCCGTCAATCTCAACTCCTTAACCTCTTCCATTTTTAAATCGGAATTCTTCATTCTGCTTTTGGATCTGCATGGTGGGGTGCGATACAGGGATTTAGAGTTGTTACTGATTCATTTTTTACACATTTTTTTCAATTTGTGGCGTTGAAATTATATTCTTCTGAGCGTTAGGCGTGGGGATTTTTGGGTCCTGTAAGAGTGCGCGTGTCTCTCGTTCTATTGTGACGCAGATCTTTTTCTGCTTCTTTTGAGGGGGTAGCCGGGGCTCCGGCCTCGGCGGGTTTTAAAACCCCCAGCTGTTACAAAATCATTCTTAAAAATCGTGAAAATAATTCTAATTTTTGTGAAATTTTCATTTTTTGATTCTTTTCTCGGATCGGAAAAGAGATGCCGGCCTTGGCTTGCTTCGCAGACGCTTCTGTAGCGCCTCCTCCTGGCTACGCCTTTTCTGGGGAAAGCGCACCTCCGACGTCGGAGGTGTTCTCTTCCTCCGGCGAGCCTCCGTCCGCAAACACCGCCGTGGCCTTTACTGCCATGCCTGCTACCTGGGCACTCGCTCAGTCCGCCGCACTCTACCGGGTTGACGGGTGGGGTGCCCCTTACTTCACCGTCAACTCCTCTGGCAACATTTCGATCCGCCCTCACGGTGTTGGGACGCTGGCCCACCAGGAGATCGATCTCCTCAAGGTGGTGAGAAAGGTCTCAGAGCCGAAATCTTCTGGCGGGCTCGGGCTTCAGCTCCCTCTCATTGTGCGCTTCCCAGATGTGCTAAAAAATCGACTTGAATCTCTACAGTCAGCTTTCAATTTTGCAATCCAATCGCATGGCTATGAGGCCCATTACCAGGGCGTTTATCCCGTGAAGTGCAATCAAGACAGGTACGTGGTTGAAGACATTGTGGAATTTGGGTCGGGCTTCCGCTTCGGGCTTGAAGCAGGCTCCAAGCCGGAACTTCTCTTAGCCATGAGCTGCCTCTGTAAGGGAAGCCCAGAGGCGTTTCTGGTATGCAACGGATTTAAGGATGCAGAATACGTTTCTCTCGCATTGGTTGCTAGAAAGTTGCATTTAAACACTGTAATTGTGCTTGAACAAGAGGAAGAGCTGGATTTTGTGATTGATATCAGCCAGAAACTCGGTGTTCGTCCCGTGATTGGTGTTCGAGCGAAGCTGAGGACCAAACATTCTGGACATTTTGGGTCCACTTCCGGGGAAAAAGGGAAATTTGGTTTGACAACCATTCAGATTCTTCGCGTTGTTAAGAAGCTCAAACAATATGAAATGCTGGATTGCTTACAATTGCTGCATTTCCATATTGGATCTCAAATTCCATCTACTGCTTTACTCGCCGATGGTGTCGGTGAAGCTGCTCAAATCTACTGTGAATTACTCCGTCTTGGTGCTTGTGTTAAAGTCATTGATATTGGCGGAGGCCTTGGAATCGATTACGATGGCTCAAAATCTCAGGATTCCGATATTTCTGTTGGTTACAGTCTTGAAGAGTATGCTTCAGCTGTTGTTCAGGCTGTTCAGTTAGTATGTGACCGTAAGGGCGTGAAACATCCAGTACTTTGCAGTGAAAGCGGCCGTGCCGTTGTTTCTCATCATTCAATTCTATTGTTCGAAGCTGTTTCTGCAAGTTCCTATCAGTCTTCTCCAATGTCTTTTAACGGACTTCAGGACCTAGTCGAGAGGCTCCCTAATGATGTTCTTGCTGATTATCGGAATTTATCTGCTGCTGCAGTTCACGGTGAGAAAGATAATTGTTTGCTTTATGCAGAGCAGCTGAAACAGAGGTGTGTAGAGCAATTCAAAGAAGGGTCTTTGGGGATTGAACAGCTGGCTGAAGTTGATGGCCTTTGTGAATTGGTTTCCAAGGCGATTGGGGTATCTGATCCTGTCCGCACTTACCATGTGAATCTATCGGTTTTTACCTCTATTCCTGATTTCTGGGGCATTGGCCAGTTGTTTCCTATTATTCCAATACACAGGCTAGATGAGTGTCCTGCAGTGAGAGGGATTTTGTCGGATTTGACATGTGATAGTGATGGGAAGATTGACAAATTCATAGGAGGTGAGTCTAGCTTGCCTCTGCATGAATTGGAAGGCAATGGTTGTATTAATGGCGATGGTGGGAGCTACTATTTGGGGATGTTCTTGGGTGGGGCTTATGAGGAGGCACTTGGGGGGGTTCACAACCTGTTTGGGGGCCCAAGTGTGGTGCGCGTGTCTCAGCGCAATGGTCCACACAACTTTGCTGTGACTCACGCTGCCCCTGGTCCATCCTGTAGTGATTTGCTACGGATGATGCATTTTGAGCCCCACCTCATGTTCGAGACTCTCAAGCACCGTGCAGAGGAGCTTGCCAACAATGGTAATGACGATTCCAATGGCTGCATGGCTCTGGCCAGTGGCCTTGCCCGGTATTTCGATAACATGCCATATCTGGTGGCTGCATCCTCTTGCAGCCTGACTGCTGCTGGGGGCAATGGTTACTACTATTGCAATAATGAGAAGTTTGTTCCCAATGTTGATTCGGTTGCTGTGGAGGATGATCAATGGTCTTATTGCGTTGCTTGAGTTTTTATTTGAAGTGTCTCTCGTGGTTTGTTCTTTTTTTTGGTCAAGGTTGTCCATCTTCTGTTTTCGGTTCGATCTATTCTCTTTTTAACTATGTTGTTCCTTTCCCCGTTTTACTTGTTGATGAACAAGTACTATGCATTCTGTGGAGTCATATGGGGAAATTCATTTATCAATTCCCCCTTGCTTCATGTATTGCTTTTCAATTACTTTTTGTAGGATGCTATTGCTGACTTTTGGTTTAATGACTAGTATCTTATGATTGTATTATTTAACTAGTAAAACTAAGACCCATCGAACACTTAGGTGATTAAAATTTCTTTAACAAGTTACCAATAATTATTTGCAACAAGCCACAAATAATTTATACAAGACAACAATAAAATTGTTTTGACAAAAATGAGTAAATAATTGTGCATGAATGTAAATAACACCATAGTTGTTTACGAAAGAAAACCCTTGAAAAATTCTTTAAGAGAAAAATCCTTCGGGCACTCTTTGCCATAAAAAAAGATATAACTTATAGTTTTGAATTAGACACACTAAGTCATAATGGACTCTGACATTCAATCTATAAATACTCGAAGAACTCTTCCGTTATGTGCATCTACTCCAGAAACTCTGGACAACTTTTCTTCAAGGATATTTAATAACGAACTCGTTTTCCCTTAATGGGAACTCCAATTTCCTCTTGCATGATGCATCCATGAATACTATTGAAGTAATATGTTACGGGATTTTTGGTGTTTTGATTTTTGTATGAGAAAATAAAACAATCTTTGATTTGTGAAGATAAGTAAAATGTGCTATTTTGTTTTCTTTTCTCACAACACAAACTTTACGAAATGAACATGTCTCCCATATACTTGAAGAAAAAACACTGTTATTGGTGGTTGGGAGAAGTTTTATTTTGGATGGATGGAAGTCAGGGTTTCCCTGCACAAAATATCACTCAAGCGGAACTCAAGGTGGGAGACCTGCGCCTGATGGACGCTTGAGCTTTTCATGGGCAGTCCAAGGATGATAGGCCTTGGTTAATGGCGCTTGAGTGCCTTCTGGCCTTGTCCTGGCACCCCTGTAGTACAGAGTAACATGCGTAACCTACTCTCAACACCCTACAACACAAAACCCCAACATGACGATTTTGGTTACAGAACAAGCCAATACAAGCTTAGACCTAACAAATGTCTCCTCTGGCATTTCATGACAAAATCATATATTACAAAAAACGAAAGTATCAAATCCCAACCCCCACAACTGATCAACAAACTTTCACATTCACACTCCATCTCAGATGCCTGTTCATACCCGTTTCCTAAAATTCAACTTAAAACAATATCGCATGAACTGCAAGAGGAAAACAGATAGGCAACAAACAAAATATGATTTATAAGCAATACATCATACATCTAACAACATTAAACATTCTAGTTTGCTAGCATTAAAAACATTCAAGTTAACACAAAAAAAAAAAATTTGCTAGCAATTAAAATGAATAATGCTACTTGCAGTCGCTCACTGCAGCAGTTGCCCTCTGTGGCATACAAATGTTAAGTGTGTATTTGATGTATTAAATGTGATCAAAAACTACCAAATTAATGCATCAAATAACTACATGCCATGTGTGTGCCACATAGGACGACTGCAAGTAGCATTACTCAATTAAAATATTCAAAATAAACATCCATCCATCAAAAAAGATTCCAACTTTCTCCCCTTTTGTCATGAATATCAAATGACCCGTTAATCACTAATTAAAATCAATAGCAGTCTCTGCCTCGAAATCTGAATTAGATGCATCTGAAGCCGCGGCCACTGATGACCTTGATTCTAAGTGCTGACAAATCTACATGACATCTAACATGAGACGATCAGAAGTAAAGTGAAGTGAAGTGATGTTTACCATCATCCGAGCCTACTGATTAAGATTGATAATTGACCCATTATAGCAACTGTCGAATCAGGCAAGCTAGGAGGTACAAGATCCCACAAAGTAGTAGGAGGAGGGACAAATGTTGATCATGATGGTACTTGTGCTTGAGGAGAATTAAGCTCATCGGGACTCAGAGGAACAGATGGTGCATGAGACCTACTCTGAATAAGAGTAAGCTGATTGATTTGATGTCCTATACAGTCAGGTGCCTCACTAGGAAAACTGACATCAAGACCAGTGAGCAACTGCTGAATAAGATACCCGTGTGGAAGTCCCTTTTGCTTGTGATTATACCGAAAGACCTCCAACATGTGGGACACAATGAAAGAAGGGAGATCAATTGCCACAACTTGGTGTACTGGATGCGAAGGACTTGCATCTCAGGAGTAAGATCATGGGTGGGTAATAGGTCCATGTCCTAGTGCTAGAGGACGATCGAACAAGGTAGACAAGTAAATTGTGGGCTGGCCTAGCATCAGAGTGTTATAAGGAAATTAAGGATGGGACACTCCAGGATTGTTCAATATCCTAGAAATGACATAGGCCGAGATGGACAGAACTCGGCCATGAAGAAAAATAGAGAATGTTTTGGACACAATGTGATGGATATTAGCATAAGTTGAGAACACTGTAGCACAATTTGCTTGGATGGAGGCATAAGATTACAACTGCTCCCAAAGACGTGAAGTAAAAATGGCTACGGTCAGTTAGAGTTACCTCCCTCTCTGGAAGAATAGGACGATTAGATAATTGAGAATCCTAAACCTCTCAAGCCTCTGAGGTTACAAACCGAGACCTATCAAATTGTGGTTGTGAACTTCCTGTTTTCTTTCTGGTTGTCTTAGCTCGTTTAGGCATCTGAACAAACAATACACACTCATTAACAATCAAGAAGAGAAGCCTAAATCAATAGAGTACATCCAATTTTTAAAATTTCCCATTTTCCATTCATCATCATCATCACTTTAATTTAGAATGGGCGCTCAAGCGATTTTGAGTGCCAAGCGATCGGTCCTGCCCAGAAGTTTTTATCTTTCATTGGATTCGATGAGCCCAAATGGAATTTGAGCGATAACTGAAACCATTGCTTGTGATTACATGCATATCGATTGCTATCTGTCTAAGCATAGATGTGAAAACTGAGTCGAGGGGCTGGCACTTTTTGACAACTCGAGTCTAACCTTTTAAATACTCTATTGAGTTTGATGTTTATATTTCATGTGTTATTACTTATCATTATGGAACGGATTGTTTGTTTGCGAGATTTGATAGCTTGTCCAGACCTTCCTTTGAAATGCTTAACCTCGACACTTACTTTATCTAGATGAAGATGTAGTGTATATTTTGTTCATAAATTTGATATGAGGGTCGGTTTGATTGCAAATGTGGAAAATAAATGGAAAGAAAATGAATTCTAGTGAATTGAATAGTTTAGAAATTGTTTTATTGGGAATTGTAATTAATTGTGTTTGATTGATATAATTTTCCACATGGTTCGTTTGACTTTGTTTTTCATAAAAATTGTCAATTAAATTGACAAAATTTATTAGAATTGGTGATAGAATTTGTTTGGATTGCCAAAAATTTAAAAAAAATCGATTTTTTTTTTGTTTGTTTGGATTATTTTTTTTCGTGCAAATTGTCAATTAAATGAATAGATTTTTTTACCATTGGGTTTGGAATTTGTTGCCATTGCTATAAAAAAAAAAAAAACTGGAAACCATTTTCCCACTAGAAAGGTGGGAAAATGAATTCAAGCAAAATAAAGAAAATGTCACCGTGTGAAGAAAATGTGAAAATCCAATTCCCAAGAAAATTATTCCCATCAAACAAGCAAATTGGTAGAAGATGGAATTTGAATTCCTAGTTCCATGAAAAATTTTCCATATCAAACACTGCCTAATGGTAACTTTTTTCTTTAGCTCGTGACAAGGAAGTTATAGGACTTGTATGCCCTATCGCCTATCGGATGTTGAAGTTTATGAACTAAAATTGTGATTAATGCCCGTGTTGGTTAAATAAGATAGAATATTTAATGCCCGTGTTGGTTAAATAAGGCCTTTAGTATTTCTCAATCACTAAGCATTAAATGGAACTACGCGGCTTGTCCTCAAGGTTACTTGATTATTTCCTCATTGTATGCTGCTCAAAGGGTTTGTGGGCTTATCATATTGAACCTTGTAGTATTTGTGGCTAGGAACTGAAGATCTTCTAAAATTGGATGCTATTAACCAGTGGAGGATATGTGAAATCAGATATATTGAAAGAATACATTACAAAATTTGTCATATATCAATTTTCGGGATGTCCTACCACCATAAAGGATTTTTGCTAGCTGCTGGAGTGTCTAAACTGCATATGAAGATGTAAGACCAGAAGGACAATAATAGAAGGGTGGTGCCTTGAATAAAGAAGATGTNTTGGATTCGATGAGCCCAAATGGAATTTGAGCGATAACTGAAACCATTGCTTGTGATTACATGCATATCGATTGCTATCTGTCTAAGCATAGATGTGAAAACTGAGTCGAGGGGCTGGCACTTTTTGACAACTCGAGTCTAACCTTTTAAATACTCTATTGAGTTTGATGTTTATATTTCATGTGTTATTACTTATCATTATGGAACGGATTGTTTGTTTGCGAGATTTGATAGCTTGTCCAGACCTTCCTTTGAAATGCTTAACCTCGACACTTACTTTATCTAGATGAAGATGTAGTGTATATTTTGTTCATAAATTTGATATGAGGGTCGGTTTGATTGCAAATGTGGAAAATAAATGGAAAGAAAATGAATTCTAGTGAATTGAATAGTTTAGAAATTGTTTTATTGGGAATTGTAATTAATTGTGTTTGATTGATATAATTTTCCACATGGTTCGTTTGACTTTGTTTTTCATAAAAATTGTCAATTAAATTGACAAAATTTATTAGAATTGGTGATAGAATTTGTTTGGATTGCCAAAAATTTAAAAAAAATCGATTTTTTTTTTGTTTGTTTGGATTATTTTTTTTCGTGCAAATTGTCAATTAAATGAATAGATTTTTTTACCATTGGGTTTGGAATTT